GGTACTCCTAAAAAACACAAATCATATGCCGCAAACCCGAACCCGATCGGATCAAGGGAACCACTGCCTCACGGGCCGTTTATGTCGAGAGTGCAACTATTAAAATCAACTTAAATGACATCATATTCCGACTCAGAATATGCGATTTTGGGGGGGTAGTTCCTCTTGCGTTTTTCAATTTGAAGCCTCCTTCTATGACTTTTCGAGGGTTTTAGATAATTTGGCCAAAAACGACTAAAATTCACACGGAGGGCCCTTGAGCGACATCCTTCTATCTGAGAAATTACCTACTTCGCCCGGGTACGTAAAAATGTCCGCTGAGTCCGAATCCGTCGTCGGATTTGACCGATTTTAGCATCTTATGGCCCTATAAGCCCTCCCAATGAACCTAGAACAGTGTAATCGCGACGGAAATGACCTCAACTTAACCCACAACTCTTATTGTACTTACTTCGGAGTTGTGAAAGTGACTTGTCATCGCACCGGCAGGCACAAATATTATAAACACCTTTAGAAAAAAATTCAGAAATTCACGAAGAATTCATTGTGAAAATAGGTGCCAGATCCTTTGTGATTTTGGGGTAAATCAAAACTCTTCCTCGATGTCAGAAATGATTAACTTGAGGAAGTATTACGATTGGTGCCGATCAATTTTTAAGTGTGAAATAGCAAAATGCAATAGCAACGACGAGGAGCAAAAGCAGTATTTACTCTTGTGTGTCAAAGAGCTTCGAAAGTCGTTCCCAAATGTAAACCGGGAAAATTTAACTAAGATGGGATAGCTCAAAAGTTTTTTTTCTGACTTCATATGTTATTTGTTTTATAAGATTAGTCTTTTTTTTCTGTGATAGCCTTGTTACTAGTGGTAGCCCCCCTCTTTAAGTTTAAATTTACTGGATATTTTTTTTATTTTCCTTGTTCAAGATCATAATTTTTTTTTTACCATGGTCAAGTACGTTTTTTGTTAATTATGAAGTAAAATTTTTGGTCCCCTGTTAAAAGTATTGCGTGATTTACCAACACTTTCCCGATACGAAGCATCTGTGAAATCGCAACACTTCTCTGTAATCAGAAATAGTGCATTTTGCTATTTCACACTTAAAAATTGATCGGCACCAATCGTAATACTTCCTCAAGTTAATCATTTCTGACATCGAGGAAGAGTTTTGATTTACCCCAAAATCACAAAGGATCTGGCACCTATTTTCACAATGAATTCTTCGTGAATTTCTGAATTTTTTTCTAAAGGTGTTTATAATATTTGTGCCTGCCGGTGCGATGACAAGTCACTTTCACAACTCCGAAGTAAGTACAATAAGAGTTGTGGGTTAAGTTGAGGTCATTTCCGTCGCGATTACACTGTTCTAGGTTCATTGGGAGGGCTTATAGGGCCATAAGATGCTAAAATCGGTCAAATCCGACGACGGATTCGGACTCAGCGGACATTTTTACGTACCCGGGCGAAGTAGGTAATTTCTCAGATAGAAGGATGTCGCTCAAGGGCCCTCCGTGTGAATTTTAGTCGTTTTTGGCCAAGTTATCTAAAACCCTCGAAAAGTCATAGAAGGAGGCTTCAAATTGAAAAACGCAAGAAGAACTACCCCCCCAAAATCGCATATTCTGAGTCGGAGAATGATGTCATTTAAGTTGATTTTAATAGTTGCACTCTCGACATAAACGGCCCGTGAGGCAGTGGTTCCCTTGATCCGATCGGGTTCGGGTTTGCGGCATATGATTTGTGTTTTTTAGGAGTACCTTAATCCGAGTGAGGCCCAAGAGAAATCAACAAAAGTTGTTTTTTGGACTACCCTACCGCGGGTGCCCGTGTCCGGGCATCGGGGCAACCGCTCAGTAGCATTCCTAAGCTCTTCAGACCTGGAAACTATTGAAATGCTTCCGTTTCTAGTTTTTTTCGATTTTTTTTCTGACTATTCTGATTTTTTCCGATTTTTTCGATTTTTTTCTGATTTTTTCCTTGATTGTCTAACCCCGCGCACTTCTGTGCGCAACGAACAGAGTAGAGAACGTCTGACGTTCTGTGACTCACAGAGTGTGACGTAAGAGCATCACTCGGGCGAGGGGCAGGCACTCGGCGATTCGCAAGGCTCAAGCGTGACATACCAGGTGCCTGATTATCTCCGCGCATTTCTGTAGTTCGACTGTACCGCATGCAGGATTGTGGGCAGGCTTGTTTATCGCACCTGTCCTTGGCACCTTACGGGCCGGGCGAGTAGGCAACCCGCGTGCACTCGTGAATAAATGATGTCTTTTATGAGTGATTAGGATTTTGAAAATTGCAACGTTTATTTTTTTCTTATTTCCT